TCAAACTCAACGCACCCTTCACTCAGAAAACATACTGAGCATCTATTTGATACCAAGGATATAATAAATAACTTTAGCTATAAATGTCATAGTTTATTTTTAATTTTTGATTTTTTAAGACTAAGTAAGTTATTAAAACAAGGGGATATTATAAGTAATACTGATGAAGTAAAATTAGAAATGGAAACTTTCTACCAAAGATGATTTTACCTGGTTCAAATTATTTCTTACTGTCCTCAATTCCGTATCTCGTGTTCTCAGAGTCAGTTGAAGTTGTTTGTTCGCTTCAACTTCTTTCATGTACTGCTCTTCTTTTCTTCTTAAGTGTCCCCTGATTTTTTCATACAATGTGTTGGCATTTTTTCTCTTCTCTTCTTCTTGTCTTAAGGCAGATCTGCAGTGAAATATGTTTATCTTAATATTAGTTTCATTAGAAAATAATAAGTTCATTTTGTGATCTGGCTCTGCATATGTTGGTTGCTTTCTTAGTAAAATGTCTACACTTGTGAATGTTTTTCCTTTCTAGTTCTTATATTTCCAATTTCTTACTTCCATCTCTTCCAAATGATGCATACTTGAAAGGTAAGGAGGAAAGAACATTCTGGTAATTGGGAAGTTTCTGTTCCTAGTAACTCTGGCAAATATTATAGAAAAGGATATTGGAAATTATTCACCAACACTACAGGTAGAAAAGTAATTTTTTCCCCTATACAGTTGTAATTGCTCCTCAATTAGAGAAAGTTATTTAGAGTTAGCTAATTAAAAAGAAGTTGCCGTTTATAAACATGTTTATAAATTCACTAGAAATAAATGTTCATCTTCATGAAATAGTGCAGATATCCCTAAAAATGATTTACAGTGTAAAAGAGGACCTTCATCTGTTTTTCACACATGTATCAGCAGATCGCTATAATGCAAGACTAGGCCAAGGAGTCTAACCGGTTACCCTACACTTTTGATGTTTCTTTTATGGGTGACAATTTGGACAGTATGTGTTTTTCACATAGAACTCTGAATTAATTTTATATGTGGAAAAGTGAGAGATGTTGAATAAACGAATCAGAAATCACTTTCCATTTCAACTTTTATTTCATGCATAGTAAGAATAAAACTATAAATTTAAAAGAATTAATCTGAGTTTTTAAAAAAATGGACATTTCATACCATGTTGGCTACACTGTAAGCTAATATAAATTTTCTTGTGAACAACTGAGAAATATTGATCAAAGACCATTTGTTAAAAGTTTTTATAATTGAACAAAAAAAACTATATTGAAGAATTTATTCAAAGTAAATAGCCAAAAATGTAGAAAAAGATTTGTATAAAAAGATGTTCCTTGCAACATTATTTAAACACAAAAAACTTTAAAACCCTCAATTCAATTTGCTAAATCAATGATGAGATTTCCATATGGTAAACTCCTATACAGTCATAAAAATGATGATTTAAAAGAGTAAGCATTTAGTTATTTGTAGAAGTATTCACAGTAAAGAACTTGTTATATTATATCAAAGAATTTCACGCTCCAGAAGGCTCAGAAGTTCTCTCCCCTGTTCGGTCCCAGAAGGTAAGTCAGTAAATACCAGAATTCTTCTACATATTTTTAGCATAAAGGAAATACTTCAACCGTTTCTTTAAAACTAGGGTGCCATGCCTCAAACTGTAGAAATCTCGTTCCCATTCATCGTTTTGATGTTCTAACTGTAATTTTATTTCTATTGTTTCAGATAACTCCTTTTGTAGTACATGGACCTCATTTTCCATTTTTTTCATTTTTTCTGTAAGTAGTTTACAGTGATTTTTTTCAACTTCTATTGATCTTTCCCATGAATGAATGGCATCCTGAATTTTCAGTAGGTTAACAGGATCTGTATCAGAAAAAAAACAAGATAGACATCAGATAAATGAGTACTTTTTGGATATAAAAAACTGCATTTTAGCATTCAGTCACTCCTCCCTGAATAAATATATATTGCCTACAATGTGGAAGACATTATGCTAAGTTCTGCAATGAAACAGGCAAGACCTCTGCTCTTCTTAGCTTCAAGTGTAGTGAAGGATAAAGACAACAAATATAACAATTTTAAATCCAGATAGATGTTGTCAGAGAAAAGAGTTTTATGAACACATAAGCGAATTTGACCTGTTTCTCTGAGGAAGAGATGGCTACCCTGAGCAATGAAGGATGGAAAGGTTAAGCAAAGGGGGAAGAAAGGCATTCTAGCCAGTCTGCGGCATGTGCTGAGGCTCTGCTGCGATCTGCTTCTAGCCAAGAGGGAGCAACAGGTACTGATCTTCCTTCTTACCTGAAACAACCAAAAACAAAACAGACAACATACGTTAAGCAATGATTTTCAAGAATGTGAACTTCAGGCAAAGAAGACACTCATCCCTGAAAGACAGGAAACACAGTAAGCCTATGAATGCCCCAAGCTGCCTGCCTTGACACTTTCCAGGCCATGACAGAGGAAGAACAAGACTGAGGTGGAGTCTACCAGATGCCTTGAGGTGGAGTGATGAAGCTGAGAGACTCATAAAACCAAAGCAGAGAGACCACAGGAAAGAACACTGGATGGGAGAGCACAGTGCGGGGAAAGAACTCTGGAGATCTGCAGAAATCTCCTCTCGGGTATTTAGTGCTGGCAAACTATCTGAGACCAAGGAAGAAAACCAGCTGAAAAATTAGAGGGAACCATGCCTGGTAGTCACACAGTGCCAGAGGAGTGTCCATTTCCATGAGCCAGGATGGAAAAACTCATACTTTATATACAACAGTGGGTAATCAGAAAGGTCTCGCTTCAAGACTGGGCAATTGCCCAATCATAAACATAAGACGAAAAAGGATCTGGCTGTTTATAAGTGACTGAACTGGAGCTCAAAGTAAAGCTTGAGAAGATAAGTAGGGGCGTGGAAGATATTTTTAAAAACTAAATTACACTTACGGAAATGCCAATTACAATGTCTGAGACAAAACTAAACTGAATGGAAATAAACACAAATTAGACATCACAAAAAACAAGATTCATGAATTTGAGATGTCAGTGAACTGTGAGAAAACTTCAGGCAGCTGGTAGGTAAGCCCCTTAAGAGGGAAGAGAGAGACAGAACAATATATTTGAAGAGAAAATGGCCAGGAACTTTCTAAACTTAGTTAAAGTTATAATCCCACAGACACAGGATGGATCTGGCTGGGTGACAGGAAATGAAAGTATACTGTTGTAATTTTCGTATACCATCTATGATGTGGTACAATATTACTTGAAAGTGGATTGTGATAAGTTAATATCATACACTATAAATCCTTCAGCAACCACTAACATAGCAAAACTAAGAGTTACAGCTAATAAGCCAAAAAAGATTTAAATGACTCATAAAAATTACTTGACTAATCTAAAATGAAACAGAAAAAGAAAGAAAAGGGAAAAAACAGCTGGGACAAATAGAAATGAAACAGCATGATGACAGACAAACCTGACTATATTCATAATTGCATCATAAATAAAACTGGCCTAAAAAATCTCAATTAAAAGGCACATTATCACACTGGATTAAAAAGCAAAACCCAATTACATGCCACCTCTAAGAAATGCACTTTAAATGTAAAGACACAAATTGGTTAAAAACGGAAAATGATAGACCACGCTAACACTTGACAAAAGAAGTCTCAGCAGGAGTGGCTGTATTATTATTATTTTTTCTTCGAGATTTATTTTTTGTTTGATGAATCTGACACCAGTCAGGGAGAGGAGAATGTGGTGACCCCACAGAAAACTACGGCCCCAGAGGAGGGGCGGCTTCTTCCTGCCTGGGTGGGTTTGGTGCTGGGGTTTATTTGTTATTATTTTTTAATTTGTTGCTGGAAGTTTTTCTTTTATTTACTTTTATAAATCTCTCCCCAGGCTTGTGAGCTTCCCCTCCCTCCTGCCTCCCCTTCCCCTGCCCCCAAATTTCATTTTTAAAAAGTGAGCTTGCTCGCAAAGTGCATTCCCCAAGCTCTCACAGCTGTAATAAATAAGGAGCACCTGTAAAACAGTAGCTTGCCTTGTGAAGTGACTCTGTACAACGGAGAATCTAGAAATACAGTATGTACACCACCTCCTCAGGCCGTGGTGCTTCAAGGCCAGTGCCACACCATCCTGGCCCTGCCCACCTGTGACTCACTACCCCTCCTGCTGAGGCTCCTTGTGGGGCAGGAGCACCTGGACACCTCCACAGGGAATAATTGCTTTGAGTTAGTAAACAGATACACTGAATCACAAGGTGAA